CCATTCGGGAACGACATTGATTAACGTTTTTATACATTTTCTTGTTGTAGTAAGTCTCCAAAATGAGAAAGTCGTCGTCAGGACATCTGAACAGTAGTTCGATAAATGAGAAAGCAAGTTTTGATGAAGAAAAAGAGGATTTTGCACACTCCTCTCCTCCGGTTCTTCTTCCTGTTGAACGCTACTCACAAGATTATTCAACAAATAAATGCGAAAAACCTGATCTACTAGAGGACAAGTAAGTCATAGCAGAATTATCTTTAAAATATCGATATCTTTTGCACTTTGCTTTTTGATCTTCTGCGATACTTATACTCGTTCATTCAAGGATAATTTAAGATACAACTTTTAGCTTACAAAGTCTCACTATCGTTACCGGACAGATGAATCCGACATTCTCGAAAGACGAAGACATTGTCAAAGAGAATGAATCACAGAATGAATTAGATACAATTGATTTAGCTGAACAACCGCCAGCAAATATAGATGAAACGATTAGTGTCACTACTGTTGAAAAATCCAGATATTCGAAGCGATCGTTCCTTTTATCCAAATTACTGTAAGTTCGTTTCATATCTAAGCGAAGTCACATTCTGTTATTGCATATCTTTCTTTCGCCTTGTTAATACACATATGATTCGAGTTACATAGACTTTTCCTGTTTTAGATTTTTCAAGAGATCGCATGACTCTAAAGTGCAACAGGAAAGAAAGATCAAGCTATTTGAAATTGTTTGTACTTGAAAACAACTAACAGCTAAAATATTAAGCGGTTTTCTTTCTATTTTTCAGCACAAATTTGCTGATCCGTGGGACATCATAATAATGATTGTTGGCTGTATAAGTTCGATTGGTGCCGGTGTCTGTACTTCCTTGATGTTACTTGTGTTTGAAAGCGTGACGAATGCTTTAGTCAGTTTCGGAAAACTACAACAAATTAATGAACTGAATATAACAAACAGTCTGAATTCTACTCAAACAAGGTCGGCAAAATGGTAATAACTAGGGCTAATAGCGTTTGCTTCCCTTTTACCTGCACACGTTTCTGTAATAAGAGCTGGAGTTTAATGGATTGAATATGAATACAGGAAATAACTTAAAAAACTTCAGTTTTTTTATAAGAAGAAAACCAAGCACGAGAAAAACGAGTAGTATCTTGTAATGATGCGTCAAGCTGTTCTTCATGTTTGTATTGCTCGATGCATCGGCTGCACTTCACAAAATAGAAAGGCCTCTAGATATTTCTGCTCGGTAGATCTTGCTTGAGTAAAAACTGACTTGAAAAGCAATGAGAACTGATCCTTTGTTTACTGGCTCTAAGACCATTCAAATACAATTCAATTATCATTAGTATGTGTGAAGTAAGAAAACAGAAATTTTTGGAGAGATCGACAACTGGAAACCCCGGTAGCCAAAACAGTCTCATACACTCTAAGAAGCACATGAAACAAATGTTTTCATCATCTTTCAGTTTCCATGTTATGGAATTAGACACGGCTGATAATCTTTATACAGTGACCTCGCATATCATCAAGTGGTATATAATTATCGGATTTTCAAGCATATTCCTTTATTGGCTGGGATTTTCTTTATGGATGAGTACAGCAGAAAGACAAGTTCGTCGCATCAGGTCAGCGTTATCAGTGAAACTGTGTTAATGAAAAATACAATTGTTCCTCTTTAAACCTAACATTTTAGATATGAACTATTTCGTAGCATTTTACGACAAGAAGTCGGATGGTTTGATGCGAGAAAGCCAGGAGAATTAAGCAACAGACTTGTCGATGATCTGGATAAAATACGCGATGGAATAAGGTTAATTTTTCTAGTATATTTGTTTTTTTGCACATCTGTGAAGGATTTAGCAAAGATCCGAAGGATCACTCTCATATAGGTATGCATCAGTTTTTAACTGGCGTTGGGGCATCCGGGAGAATTGCTGTACGTCAGTTATCACGGTTTACTCAGAGCTGTGAAACATCTCATTTTGTAGAAAAATGCTTGCTCTACAAAATGCATTTGTTAAAACAATTCCGAAATCATTTGTAAGAAAACGTAGAGCATTCAAAAATACATTAAATTACGGAAAAAAAACTATTTGAACAGTTTTTTTTCCGTGATTTGGTGCATTCTAAAATGCACTAAGTTTTCTTAGAAATGATTTCGGACTTGTTTTAAAAATGCATTTTGTAGAGCAAACATTTTCTACAAAATGAGATGTTTCATAGCTCTGAGTAAACCGTGATAACTGACGTACAGCAATTCTTCCGGATGCCCCAACACCAGTTAAAAACTGGTGCATACCTACTCTCATAAGATCAACATCAGAAACTCGTTTTACAATCGCTTTTTCGTTACCGAAAAGCTTAAGCCTTGGACTGACCCTACTAGGTGTGCAGCCCTCGTGATTATCTTCATGTAACTTTTCTTTCAACACAGTTGAGAATATATACGTCAGACGTCACCAAAATGCTATGATGATTCGATTTTCAATAGCGGTAGTAGGGTCTGTCCAAGGCTTGGGCGTTTTGTAAGTGCGAGTGTACAACAAAATTTCTTCAGTTCAAACAAAGTCGAGTTTAAGAATCAAAAAGAAAAGATGAACATACATAACTGATGACTTTTACTATCTTATTTTCCTTTAGCGAGAAAGTTCCAGAATTTATATCCTTAATTGCAAGAATGGTTAGTTGTCTAGTACTCGCTTTCATAAAGTCGTATAAATTGACGTTGGTATTTATGAGTATCTCGCCTTTCATTGTGATAGTATTCAACGCAACAGTTAATGTATGTAAACGAGAAAAACGTTTGCCGACATCAGATAACCTATCGTGAACTGCTCGCATACCTGTCTTGTATTGAATAGATCATTATTGAATATACAAAAAGAGAAATTCAAGCTTACTCTAGTGGCAGTGCAGTGGTCCAAGAAACTCTTCAAAATATAAGAACTGTCACAGCGTTTCATGGACAAAAAAAACAAGAAGAACGGTCTGATTAAAGCTAGATAATCTCTAAACCATAAAACTCGCTGCTCACTTTTAGATATAGTTATTATTTATCGAACGCGAAATGGATTGGTATAAAGAAAGGTTTATATGTCGGATTATGTCAAGGAGTCTCTAATATTACAACTTTCACTGCTTTTGCTATCACGTTTTGGTATGGTAAGTGTAAGATGCAAGAAGGTCATTATTAGGGCACTCATGTTTTGATTATAGGTATTCATTTGGGTTCGAATGACTGTATAACATATACGGCTGGTACAGTAGTTGCCGTACGTATGCATTTTCCATTATAGTTCTGCTGACTGGAAAGAAAAGCAGGTAATGCTCGCTAGCTAGCTGACTCTGCACCGGCGACTCACAGCTGGGCACCTAGTGGTATAGTTTTCGTTATAGTATCGGAAGCAAGTAATCATCGTTTCCAACGTGACAGTTTTTCACAGTGTCTGTCACGCGCTATATATGCACAGGGTAGCGCTTGTCTGCTCTTGCTGTGCTCCATGATTTGAGAAACTTATACCTACGAACGACCTTTGATGACTATGAATCACAGACAACGCACATAACTCCCTCGGTCGGCGTTCGCTTGCGCCGTATCCACAATATGTTATGCAATGCGAGTATGTACGTCCGTCACACTAATATCTGTGTATGTAAGTGTGTCACACAGCCTTCACCTGACTGTATGTATGTACGTCCGTCACATAGTGTGCATATGTATAGTGAAAAGCGGGACGGAACACTGCACATATAACAATGTTCAGTCGACTTTCCTAGTTCATTTGGCGCGATCGCGATGCATTATTCAAGTTTCAAAACATTCCTGAGTCATAACTGCACTGCGACAAATTTTTCTTACAGTGATGAGTGATGTCTGCTTCCACTGAACACTATCCCTATGGGAATTTTGGAACACCAACGGGAATTCTACTTAACTAATGGAGTATTCAACTCAATCACAGAAGAAGTCTAAAAGGCAAGAAGAATCGAAAGACCGGTCAGTAAAATCTTCACGAGAATTGTAGGAATTGACACGAGAATTTTGCTCAACCACACATCCTCAACTACAAGAGAATTCTACTAAAAATGTCATGAACATAGAATGGTTGGAAGGGCTCACTCTCAGCTGACCGACTCTCTCCTGATTTACCGCTTTTCTCATCAGGAATGCACTTGAAATTATTGGATTATTTCTGCAACACATAAAGGTCCATCAACATCTCTTCTAAAGCAGAACTTTTTCCTTTTAAAGAACATAATCAGTCAAAACAACCTGTTGTTCCCAGAATTTACGTGTGATTGCGTAAAATTCTCTGAAAGATTTTACTGATCTCTCTTTCCATTCTTGATGAATGTTTTCGTGGTTTATATAAGTTCTTGCTGAGAGAGTAGAATTCCCATGTTTGGTTTATTCCGATCTAAGATGATCTCTTGAAGTAGACGTTTATTGGGACGTATAGTTTCTGCCTTACACGATTCTCGTTATCTTTTAGAACTCTCGTGGAAGAAGCCGAGTTCTACAATTCGTGAAATTGGGACACTGCTAGAAGTGATCGCGCTCAAGTCATTGAAGTCGTGCCACGACTCGCTTTGGCGACATCCAAAAGAGAACTTTGTTCCACTGCTCCACTATTCTGCTATTCCACTATTCTACTATTGTACTATTCTATTATTCTACTATTCCATTAGAAAATTTGGTGCTTGCTCCACGCTGAACCAAATTAGAAAAAAATTGGGCGCCAGGTGCAAAATTTCTTGGTGAATCCGACAGCGGGTTCCTTATAATTACGCGTTCACTTCTTTTTGGGAG